AGGAGAGCAGAGAGTTATGAAGCCAATTCATAGAGGGGGATTATTAGGAGGCCATGATTGGTAAGGGCCAATGGGAAATTTGGCCAGGACGCCGGGGTTACACCCCTACTCTTTTCGAGAAACACCCTGGGATTTTTAATGACCACAGAGAGTCAGGACCTCGGTTTTATGTCTCATCCGAAGGACGGCTCCAGTTTTACAGTATAGTGTCCCCATCACTATACTGGGGCATTAGGACCCACGTGGACCACAGGGTGAGTGCCCCCTGCTGGCCCCACTAACACCTCTTCCAGCAGCAACCTTAATATAGTGTTAAAAGAAATTTAGTTGTGAGAGTTTTTGAACCCTCTGGAATTATATGGATTTTTGCATGAAATGTCCCTAAATGTGATCTGATCTTTATCTAAGTCATAATAATAAATAAAAACATTATTTAACATACACAAAATTTTACAATGCCATATCTTTATTGAACAAATGGTTTAAACAATCAAGGTAATTGATGGAAAATGTATGTGAACCCTTATATTTAGGAACAAGTGGAACCTCCTTTATTGACAATAACCTCAACAAAACACTTTCTGTAGCTGCTGATCAGACCTGCGCAGTGGCTAGGAGGTATTTTGGCCCATTCCTCTATACAAAACTGTTTCAGTTCATGTATATTTTTGGGATGTCTCGCTTGACCAGCCTGCTTCAAATCACGCCACAGCATTTCAATGGGATTGAGGTCAGGACTCTGACTTGGCCATTCTAAAATATGGAATTTCTTCTGTTTCAGCCACTCTGTTGTTGATTTACCCCTGTGTTTTGGATCATTGTCCTGTTGCATGACCCAACTTCTTTTGAGTTTTAGATCAAAGACAGACGCCCTGACATTCTGCTGTAGAATTTTCTGATACAACTTGGAATTAATTGGTCCCTCAATGATTGCAAGCCATCCAGGCCCTGAGGCAGCACAGCAGCCCTACACCATTATACTCCCTCCACCATGCTTCACAGTTGGGATAAGGTTTTGGTGTTGGTATGCATTGTTTTGTTTTCTCCAAACATAACGCTGTGTACATTTACCAAAAAGTTAAACTTTTGTCTCATCTGTCCACAGAAAATTGTTCAAGTAGTGCTGTGGAACATCCAGGTGGTTTTTAGCAAATTTGAGACGGGCAGCAATGTCTTTTTTTGGAGAGCAGTTTCAAGGTTCAATGGCGTTACTTTGTCAGTTTAGGATTTTGAATACTTGGATCAGATCTTCTCATAGTCTTCCCTTCTTATTACTAAAAAGTTTCAGTTTTTTAACACAGTGTAAAACATTCCTTCAAGTCAGTGAATGTATCTTGTTTCTCTTCTTTTGAATTCCCCAACAGCCATATATTTCTGAAATAAGGCAAAACAATTGTATACTGTACAATATTCTAAATGTGGTCTTATAAGCGCATTATACAATTTTAACAGAACATTCCTTAATTTCAATTCAACATTCTTAACTAAATCTTTTAACATTTTATTTGCCCATTTTATAGCTTCCCCACATTGTCTAGAAGGCATAAATAATAAATCAACAAAAATGTATTTTCTGAAAGTAGTTTCTGCAAGCTCAGCATTTACCATTTTGTATTTATAGTTTTGTTTTTATTACCTGCATGCAACACCTCCACTTTTTTATAGTTAATATCATCTTCCAGGTGCTTTCCCAGTCTTGAATTTTGTCTTAATCTTTTTGAATTTCATTTGTTGTTTCTACAATGTTTGCTCTTTGCCCTATTTTCTGTGAACCTCACTACAGTGCTTTACTAGGTATACAAGAATCAAGATCATTAATATGAATCAGAAAGAAAAGTGATCCTAATACATACCCACTTACTGCATCATCTCAATTTGAGATTTCACCCCTTATCATGTACATATGCAGTAATCTTCAGTAAAGGATCCATTACAGAGCTCTTTGAAGTCTGTATTTTCAATATTTCTGCACCTTCTCATGGAACAAAATAACCTTACCTACAAATAGAAAAAGAATGTTACTGAGCACCTTAATCTCTTCAATACGAGTAGAGACCAGAGAGCCTTCGCCAAGACATATGACAAATCAGTTTGCAGCACCTCCTCTTAAACCTGTAGTGGTACTGTGACACCTCTCTCGTGTTTTTTTCTTGTACAACGGAGGTGGGGTGCAAATCTAAAAGTAAGCTTCCTCATAAGATCAAGTTACTGCTAGACAGGTTTTAACAATGTTCTCTTGGTAACCTGAGGTATCGGTGGATTAGTATTTTTTTCCCCTGGATACCAATCCCCTTGATTTTCTGAATTGCTGACATTGATCTTTAAAATGGTTAAAAGCGACAAACTTATTAAAATGTATACTCTTTATCAGCATGCTATCATGCCACGTATTCTTTAACAGCAAGCTGCTGTTTCATTAGACCTTAATATCTATGAAAACAAAACACACCTCTAGAATATGAATACACATTGCACATTACACATCACACAGCCCTTTGTCTCTTCCTGGGAAAGATGCTCCCCCCCCCCCCACAAAAAACACGTGATCCGCCACGCACCCAGTGGCTCATGCTCTGCTTACGAAAGCTGCAAAGCATTCGAAGTGTGCGGAAGCGCTTGGACAGGCCGATGTGAAACAAGGAAGAGGAGTACAAACACAGCTGTTGGTGGTTTGTCACCAGATCCGGGCGCTGCATAGGGAGTACGTGGTCTTGGATTAACGTGTCCTTCTTCTCAGCTGATGCGAACGGCTGCAGTGAAACTCGATCTCACATTTAAAGGAAGAGAACACTGGAGGCAGAACAAGAAGGATGGATTTATTCGCTTTAATGAGTCTGGACGAGCTGTCCCTGCGGATGTCCCAGCTCTCTATGTATCCCCTTTTCGATATGGCACATTACATTGTCTCAGCAATGGCACTTAAGGAGCAGCCAGGTAAACATTTGAAAATATATAATATAAATATCAAAATATGTATATCGGCTGGTTTTGATGTTAACTCGTGTAATAATAATAATAATAATAATAATAATAATAATTTCTTACACTTATATAGCGCTTTTCTGGGCACTCCATTCAAAGCGCTTTACAGGTAATGGGGACTCCCCTCCACCACCACCAATGTGCAGCATCCACCTGGGTGTAGGTTAAAAATCCACACTTTTTAGTTATTTAAATGAATAAATCGCTTAATTCTTTCCAGTATTATCTGGACTTGGAATACATTTCTTTTCCTGTTTCGTATTCAAATTCTCCATATTACAACATTCTTGAAAGCATATGTAAATAAGCATAAACTGGCATGGAAGCAGTATTGGTTAATGTAATAAAACGAACTTTTTAGTTATATACAATATAATTATTTGGATATAAAATGTATAGCATAAGTAAGTAAATATTACAAGTCGGAAAATATACTTTAAAATCATTTCCAGGTATGCATACCAGCAGGTCCACAGGTCATAAACTACATTACTTTTTAAACCGTTGGTAGATTGACTACACAGATAGGAAGAAAGTAACTGCCAATATGACCCCTACACGAAGAGACATGCATGAAAAGCTACAGATGTAACTAAGATCTAAACTATCTAGCCTAAATTCCTTTTTTTTCTAGCCTTAATTCCTATTGAAATCTGGTTTGAAAAGATCCGTTTACGCTGAAATGGTTTTGGTCTAAATATACCAAAGCGTATTGCGCACGCATCGTGAATATAGAGAAGGCGTTTGTGGTACAAGCACACTTAAACTAGTTATTGTTCAACATAGCTGTTATTGCTAAGACCATATACGAAAATAAAGATTGTAAAAACTGCTATTAATGATTGTTAATATTATATGCTTTGATTAGACGTCAGAAAAATAGTGTACTATTTTAAGAAATGTGAGGAGATGATAAGTGGTTTCTCTTTTTGCTTGAAAATAGACATATGTTAAGGACTTTAAAGCAAATTTGTATGAAACATTGGATTTGTATCATTTTCATGTGGGCATTAAACATTATCATAATAAGACTGTTTCCATTTGCAGTTGTAAACATTGAAGAAAATCAATGGTGTTTGAAAATATAGGAAAATAGTAGCAGTACATAATGTGGTCTATAATATCTGTGTTAAATCCTAAGATCTTTGTTTGGAAAGATCACTGGAGACATGGAGTTCCGATTTCTTCAGGAAGAATGATTTTTGAAAAACACAACAAACTTTAGGATACTTGTAATAAAAATTTAATACAAAATAAAGCCTAGTTTTAGTTCAGAACCATTAATAGGACTGTAGTGCAGCATTCTTAAGACAACAGTTAAATACCTTCCAATATATCACAGTATTCTGCATCATACAATCCTATTTCCTGCATTTCTTGGCATATTAGTTCATAGCACAGTCCTATTGCTGTTTTCTACCTGAATTTCAGATTATTTAAAATATCAAATTTAGCTACAACAGTGTGTAGTTTCTTGGTAAACGCTTTCCTGCATTATTCTTCAAAATCAAACCATTCCCACTAATGTTCCATGCTGGAACAAGAAGAAAGGAAACAACATTTTGACAGTGGAGCCTTCGGGTTTGAGATCGTGCCCGAAGAAGGCTTCACTGCCGAAATGTTGTTTCCTTCTTGTTTCAGCATGGAATAAACCTTTACTTGCTCCTCACTTGTCCACTAAGTTCTTCTGTTTGTTGTTCTTTCTGACCAGTGTTATCATAGAGGCACACAAAAACTTAACCTTTGTGGCTTACGTTTCTTACAGTTTTGTTTGTCTCTGTTATCTGAGCTCCATGTGGAAGACATCTCTGATTGCAAATGCCTGCTTAAAATAGCTTTATTATCTAGCCTTAGGCCTATTGTGCAGTGAAAAGCTAAAATACAGAAATAGAAAAATGACTTTTAAAGTACTGGATATAGTACTGTTGAATGAAATGTAGTAATGACACATTTCAAGATGTAAATGCTAAACAGTGTATATTTGTTGTCATTTTAAGTATTAAAATAAAACACATTTCAGCTTTGTTGTAAAGTCATTAATAAACTGGTTTTGAACCACTGCAATTTATGAAATATGATATTTTACTGCAGATTATTTGATCTACCTGGGAAAGTATTTGAGTGTGCTTTTTTCTGTTTTACATAGTTGTTGCAAAGAACAATTATGATTCAGTTTTCATCCAATGCTCTTTATATTGCTCTGCATACTGTATATTTGTGCATATTGCTCAAATCACAGAGTTTAGCCAGGATTAAATATTTGATCATAGAGATAGGTGGGCCTTCTTTGTGAGAGCCTTGACCTTTTATTAGTTTCTTATTATTCTTTTAATAGCAAGCTATCTTAAAGTGCCCTGAATTACTGTCCTTGTTTGGCTTTTCTGATGTGAACTTTTTTCCCTTTGTTATTCATTTGCTGCACTTCTGCTAGTAAGCCTGACTGGTATTCCTTAACCCCCCTGTTACCAAAATATCAAAGGTTGTTCATCAACACCTGTTCCTGTACTGTTCCTTTTTTATCTGACACGGAACCAACTTTGTAATTATTAGAGGAAGGATTGATGATTGGTGCTTTCATCAACACAGAAATCACAAAAAAAGATTATTTTTACTCTTACAGTTTAATTCAAAGAAAATAAAAAAGTATACATCTTACAGACAAGTTAAAAAAAACAATAACTATATAATGAAAAAGTAAGAAATGTAATTTTTATAATACTTTTAATAATATAAAGAATATATTATTCTTTATTTTGAAGGAACAAAAGTACTGGAACAGTTGGCTTACAGATTCCTCATACTGGTCAGATTTTTGATGTTGGGTATTTAGACACTTATAAAAGAGCTCTGGCCATCTTTTAACTGTCCTGCTTTGAAAAAAAATAATAATACAGAAAACTAAAGAACTTTTTGTTGAACTTTCTGTTGTTGAAATTCTGAAGCTGAAAGAAAAAAACACAGAACGGTAGCACAGACGTTGTAAATTCCAAAATCAACAGTTTGTAATATACATAACAAAAAAGAAACCATTGGTTACTAAAGATCCCTCAGATTAACACTAAGCCAAGACCAGGTTGGCCAACAAAAATATCTGCCATTGATGACAGAAAACTTCTCAGAGCTGTCAAGGAAAAGCATAAAAAACTTAAAGTGCAATGTAAATATTGCTGTCTGTTCTCTTTTTTGCATCTTGTAGCTATCCTATTTGGAAATTTACCACTTTGTGATGAATTATATATATAAACATGCACACAAAAACTGATTCAGTAAGTTAATTGAAGCTGTAAAAAAATTAATAGTTGGGATCATGGGGCACATAACTCAAGGTCTATTTCTTATAATTAATTCATACACTGTACAGTGCTAATTGAATATGTGAACCCTTCATCTTTTGTATGACAAATAATTGTAAAAAAATATTTTATCTGTACTCCCATATTCAATTAATCTAATCCAAATGATGGACACGTATACAAAAATTATATATTATTTCATTATTTTAAAAAAGCTGTTTTTATTGGAACAAGTAAGTGAAAGTATTAGAAAATATGATGCCTGTGTGTAAAAGTAAGTGAATTCAATAAACAGTGACATCCCTTAGCAGCAATGCCCAGAGATCAAACATTTCCTATAGTTACTAATCAGTCTCTCACATCTTCTTTGAGGAATGTTTGCCCATTCTTCCTTACAAAACTGCTTTGACTGCTCCAGATCAGTTGGCCATCTTGCATGAACAACCCTCTTCTGGTCTCACTGCAGCATTTCTATTGGGTTGGGCAATCAGAAACACAAAAACAAATCTCTTGATCCATTCTTTGGTAGATTTGCTGGAACGTTCAGGGTCATTGTAAAGCTGGAGGACCTATTCTTGACTCAACTTCAGCTCACCGACACCACTTTAAATTGTGGAAAAATGTAACTATAGTAAATTAGCTGTCAATAACTGTTGTTAATCAATGGATGAAAATCGTTTTAGATTAAGCTACGTTATGTGTATTTATGTGAGTAATTTCCTTGTAGACAAAGGAGCGAAACAACTTAAAGAACTCACTGTCTACACTTTCACAGTTTTAACTGCTTTGCTCTGTACTGTCAAATACAGTATATACAGTATTAGAAAGTAGAATTGTGCTGTTTTCTGGTGAAGGTTCTCATGACTCTCTACTTCAGTTGCTTCAGTACTCCTACAGTATGTTTTGTTATTCTTTACTTAAGAGTTTGTTATAGATAAATTTGTGCAATTCTACATCAAATTCAATTGTATACTTTATAAATAGTATGACAATTTAATGATTTCAGTATTCATTCTTAAATCCACCTTATGTTTTTTTGTGATAGAATATGCTCTTAAGATGCTTATTTTTATTTTAGAGTGTTTGGGGAGCACTCTTAGCTAATGAACCATACATTGTTTTAAAGTACTCAACAATGCACAAATTTTGATTAAACTTTCAATGTCGACATTTTGCATTTAAAATGCATTTATTCTAAGCAGGTTGGCCTATTAAAACAAGTTTTCATGCATCTTATGTCAAAGCCATACTACTTTCATGAGCCTCAGATCAGGTAGTTTCAAAAAGACCAAATGAGCTAGATGGTCTGAATAGCCATCTCTTTTGCTATTTTGTTCTTAAATTTGTGGATTTTGAACTATATTACATCGTGGACATAGATATTGTTTAGGAGGATTTTGCTGGTCTGCAGAGATCTGCATGGAGTACTGACATACAGAAGACATGAGGGATGGATGGATTAATACCCTCATTCATTTATTTCCCTTTTTTTAATGATATAATGTAAGCATGCCCAAAGGGGTTGGCCAGCCAGTTGACCTTGGACCCCTAGAGGTTTTTTTCTCCTTACTAAGGAGTTTTTGGTCTTCTGGTCTTCTGTTCTGTATTCACAAAATGTATGGTTACTTGCATTGTTAAGTGCCTTGGGGCAACTTTGTT